AGCTCCCGGGCATTCTGTGGCTTCCAGCTGCAGCGTCAATGGTGCCATCTTTTGCCTCGCTCTCTGTTCATCTTCTCCTCTTTTACAAGGAGACAGGTCATATAGGACTAGGACCCACCCTACTCCAATAGGACCTCATGTCTACTGATAGCATTTTCAAAGACCCTATTTCCAAACAAGGTCACGTTCACATGTAACAGGGTTAGGATTTCAACCTTATCCTTCTGGAGGACGCCATTCAAATCTAAAACACTGGATAATCCAGGACAATCTCCCCATCTCAAAATCCTTAACGTAAACACATCTGCAACACTCCTTTTAGCATGTGAGGTAACATATTCACAGGTTCAAAGGCCCCAGGGATGAGAACACGGACATCTTTGGAAGGCCATTACTCAGTCTACCACACTTGCATAACGCATTTCGTCCTTTTAACAAACCTATGAGGTAGGTATTGTCTACCATCCCATTTTTTAGATGAGAAACTTGAAAAAAACCAAACAGATTAAACAACTGTACCAAAACCACACACCTGAGAAGTGGCAGAAGTAGGATTTGAACCTGGGAAACCCAGATCCTGCGGTCTACACCACTACTGAATCTTGACTCTCTAGACATAGCAGCCATTTTTTATTCCATTTTATGGACGAATACAACAAACCAAAAACCAGGTGCCTTCGAGTCAATTTCAATTCTTAGCGACCCTATAAGGCAGAGTAGAACTGCCCCATAGGGTTTCCATGGAGCAGCAGGTGGATTTGAACTGCCAGCCTTTTGGTTAGCAGCCGTAGCTCTTGACTACTGTGACACCACAGCTTCTGGTGGCTTGGCTGATTAGCTTGGCTACTAATCAAAAGGTCGGCAGTTCAAATCCACCAGCTGCTCCTTGGAAACCCTGTGGAGCAGTTTGCTATGAGTCAAAATCGACTTGATGGCAACAGGAATACAACAAAACAGCCTCCATATCCTATGCCGACAAATCCACTCAGCTAATCAGAGTCAAAGATATCATTATCCCCCAAGTCTTTTCAATCCTTCTGGTTTTGTTTTTATCCTTTTTCAATATATCACACTCCATTGTCAAAAAAATATTTTTTTTTTCATTTTCTCAGACACATGCAGACAGTGGAAAATATGTTGAGGGTAACTATCTGCCAATATAGCTGCCTGGACTTCATCCCATGAAGAGGTGGGTCTATTCCCCTCTCCTGAAGCTGGGCTGACCTTGAGACTTGCTTTGACCAATGGAATGTGGAGAACATGACCCTGTGCTTAGCCCTGAACAGCCCTGAGGTCTTCTACTTTCTCATACTTGGTGAACTGAGCTGCCCCGTACGAGCTCAGCTGGGGAGAGAGGACAGGGTGTCTCCACGTTAGCCTGATGCCCACAGCCATCTCTCAGTCAGTCCAGCCATTGCAACCAGGAGATCAGACATGTGAATGAAGACATCTCAGATGGTCCAGCCTTAGCTGAGCTCTCAGATGAGGACAGTAGCATGGATGAGTCCAGCTAAGCCCAGCTAACTAAAAAAAAATAAAGAAGGAATAAATCAACATCATTTAAAACCACTAAGTTTGGAGTTCTCTGCAATGCAGTAACAGCTAACTGAAATTATATACAGTAAAACCTGCAAAAGCTGGAAGCTGTATAAGGTGGAAACCTGTCAGAGAAGGAAAACACAAATATTTTTCACTAAAGCAAGCAATAGAAAAGTGGGAAGACTGTACCCTGTCAAAGGCAGAAAACTAGCAAGACCTGGAAAAACATGCTAGTCCCGTCGAGTTTCAGCTCTCACAGGTTTCACTATAATTGGAAAATTCACCTTGAAGGACACATCACAAATGTTACGTGCCCCTCACTCAGGAGGCAGTGGTGGCAGGGAACAATATTGTAAACTACGGCTGGCGTCTAGGTTAGTACTCGTCCTAAATACTATGCTAGTATAAAACTCAAGCGCATATCTGCTTCATGACAATCACCTTGGTGTCAAACGAGACCAAAAAAGAATATAGGTATTTTTTCCCCAAAATAGCATTCCATTTTTCTTTCCTTTGTCTCCACACAGCCCCATTACAAGCCCTTCGCTTCTCCAAGCTGCTGGGCTCTGCCGGCTCTTCAGATGCCCAGCAGCCCTCTGTCCTCACAGCTGGGGCCTGCCAGCTCCAAGAGAGGCTCAGCCAAAGGGCAGGAACTAAGCCTCTGCTGTCCAGAGTCACAGGCAGATGCAGGGCCTTTGCCCAGAACCTGGGGCAGCTTGCAGCCAATCGGCTGGGGTACTAGTCCCACCAGATTTCCATTCTCACCCCTGGTCATCTGCCTTGTCCCTGAGAGGACATCATGTGACCACTCATTTAAAAAAGAAAAATAGTTCCTAGGGTCCAGGATATCAGTTAATTGTCCTAATAATGTGTTTAGTGCTTCTCTTCTACCTCTTAATTGGCTGTGTAGTGCCTGGGGTCATAAAAGCTTGCAAGCAGCCATCCAAGGCACAACAATTGGTCTCTATTCACCTGGAACAACAGAGGAAGAAGGAGAGTCAGGAAAAGGAGGAGGAAATGGAATGTGTGGCTAATTGCCTCCATGAATAACTGCCTCTTTTGCCATGAGACCAGAAGAACTAGATAGTGCCAAGTTACCATTACTAAACATGTTGATCAAAGATTCTATAGCAGAAACCTGATCAAAAGGGGGAAAACGTAGAACAGAATTTAAATTCTCATGGACTCTAGACTTTCAGGAGCCACAGAAGCTGGATGAACTATTGTCCTGAGATAACCTTTAAACCTTAAACCAAAAATGTTCCCAGAAGTCTTAAAACCAAACAGTAGTTTAGCTTAACTAGTAAAGAATGTCTGTCTTCAGCGTTACGCTCTTTTAAGAACTATTTATATGGGATCAAAGTGACAACAGGCAACTTGACAGATTAGA